ATGTCCTCATGTCCTCTGCCACCCTGTCCTCACCCCTGAGTTCCCCCTCACCTCCACATTCCCCATCCCCCTGTCCCCATCCCTCTGCCACCAAGTCCTCCATTTCCAGACCGCTGGTCCCCAACCCCCCTGTACCCCCCGTCCCCGTGTCCCCCCCGTGTGTCCCCATCCCCCTGTGCCCCCTGTCCCCACGTGTCCCCCATGTCCCTGTACCCCGCTGACCCATCGTGCCACCCCGTATGCCAGGGCCTCCCCGTCGTGTCTCCCCATCCTCCTGTGCCCCCCTGTCCCCCATGTGTCCCCCGTGTGTCCCCATCCCCTGTGTCCCCCCCGTGTCCCCGTACCCCGCTGGCCCAGCGTGCCACCCCATATGCCAGGGCCTCTCTGCTCTCCAGGCGGTGCCCGTGGCTCAGGCGCTGCTGGACACGGGCGGTCACTCCGGCCTCGTAGCCAAAGGCCCGGACGGTCCCCAGGGCCCCCAGTGACTCTAGGGCCACCGCGGTGGCACCAGCCAGAGCCAGCTGTGCTCTCCGTGCCAGCTCCTGGGGACACAGGGGACACCACAGGGGTCACCACGGGGAGTTACCACAGGGGGATACAGGGGTCAGAGGGGTCACCACAGGGGGTCACCACAGTGGTGACAGTGGGTACCCTGGGGACACGCGGGACACCACAGGGATAGAGGGCATGGAGGATGGGGACAGGGTGGGGACAGAGGGAACACCACAAGGTCACAGGGGGGTCACAGAGAGCACACGGGAGTTACACAGGAGTCACTGCAGGGTCACCATGTGGGATCATTGGGGGGGGTCACCCTGGGGACAGGGAGGTCACCTCGAGGTTACCACACTCGCAGATGGGAGGCAGGGAGGGCACAGGGGACAGGAGAGGGTGACAGTGGGCACAGGGAGGTGACAGCAGGCACCAGGAGGGGACACGAGGGACTCGGACAGGACCCGGGGAGGGGACAAGAAGCTTTGGGAGGTGACAATGGGGCACACGGGCGCAGGGAAGTGACCAGGAGTGCAGGGGAGGGGACAAGGGGCCCAGGGAGGTGATATGGGACGCAAGGAGAGGACAAGAAGAATGACCGGGGAAGCGGCGGGGGGGACAGGGACAAAGGTACAGGTTACAGAGGGAAGTGACAAAAAGGCTCGGGGGAAGCACTGAAGGGAAGCCTGGAGAGGACAGGGGGTGCAGGAAGGTGGCACTGGGCACACAGAGGTGACAAGAGACACCCCCCCCCCCCGGTACCTGCTGAGTGGCGGCCACGCGACGCGGCAGCAGCAGGAGCAGGGGCAGCAGCAGGAGGGTGCCCAGGGCCAGCAGCGGGGCCAGCGAGCCCATCACGGCCAGCAGAGCCCCTGCCCGGGCCAGTGCCCACAGCGCCGGCACCAGCTCGTCGGCCAGAGCCCCGTGGGCCGCCGCCGCGTCCCCCGTCACCCGCGCGGCCACCGCGCCCGGAGTGTCCCCCAGGACGCCCCCCGGGCCAGTCACGTCCCCCCGCAGCACCGCGGCCACCGCGCCGCTCTGGAGCCGCCCCCGAGCCCGGGTCAGCGCCGCGGTCGCCGCTCCGTCACAGCCCAGCTCGGCCAGGGCGCTGCGGGGACAGCGCAGGGTCAGCGGGCACCGCCACCTCCAGGGGTGTCCCCTCCCTGGTCCTGCTGTCACCCACCTGCCGAGCCCCAGCGCCACCAAGGGCCACACGGCCGCCCACGCGTCCTCCTCCCGCGTCACCCGGTCAGCGACGTGGCCCGTGAAGTAGGGGCCAGCCACCTCACCTGCGGGGAGGGGACACCCCCAGGGTGGGTGGGGACAGCCCCCCGGTGTGGGGGGGTACCTGCTTTCTAGGTACCGACCACGCTCAAAACGGGGGTTTCAGCCCTGAAATTGGGTGCTGACCCCCCCTGTTGTGGGCTGAGACCCCAAACTTGGGGGTTGAACTCCTGAAATGGGGTCTGGAAAACCCAGAGTTGGGTGTTGACCCCTGGAAATTGGGTGCTGACCCCTGGAAATTGGGTGCTGACCTCCCTGGTTGTGGGCTAAGACCCCAAACCCGGGGGTTGAACTCCCAAAATTGGGGTCTGCAAAACACAAATCTGGGTGTTGACCCCTGAAAATTGGGTCCTGATCCCCCATATTGGGTAATAACCCCCCAAATTGGGTCCTGCACACCTAAAATTGTCTGTGGATCCCTGAAAATTGGGTGTTGAGCCACTAAATTGGGTCTGACTCTCTAAAATTGGGTGTCACCCCCCCAAACTGGGTCCTGACCCTTGAAAATTTGCTCCTAACCTGCCAAAACTGTCTCCAAAATGGGTCCTGACCAGCCAAAAATGTGTTCTGACCGGCCCCCCCCCAAATTGGTTTCTGGTCCCCCAAAATTGGGACCCGCCTCCCCAAATCGGGCCCTGTCACCCCCCCAGAGGGATCCCGCTCCCCCACAAATCGGGTCCTGGCCCCCCCCAGTCGTGTCCTTCCCTCCCCCAATCGGGCCCTGCCCCCCCAGATCGGGTCTTTCCCCCCGCAGTGGGGTCCTGCCACTCCCTCAGTCGGGTCCTGCCCCACTTAATTGGGTCCTGCCCCCCCTCAATCGTGCCCTTCCCTCCCCTAGTCGGGCCCTGCCCTCCCCCAAATTGGGTCTTTTCCCCTCCAGTGGGGTCCTGTCACCCTCAGTCGGGTCCTGCCCCACTAAAAGTGGGTCCTGCCCCCCCCAATCGGGCCCTGCCCCCCTCAAATTGAGCCCTGACCCCCCAAATCGGGTCCTGCCACCCCCCCGAGCCGGGGTCCCCCCATACCGAGGGCCGCGGCCGCCATCAGCACCCCCACGAGCGCCCACCGCCCGCGCTCGGGGAGCAGCAGGGCCAGGAGCCGCCTGCTGGCGGGGGGCAACATCGCGGGAGGGGGCCCGGGCCGGTCCCGGGGGGTCCTGGTTCTGCTTTCAGTGGGTCTCGGTGAGTCCCGGTGGGTCCCGGTCGGTCCTGGTTCTGCTTTCAGTGGGTTTCCGTGGGTCCTGGTGGGTTCCGGGGGGTCCTGGTTCTGCTTCCAGTGGGTTTCCGTGGGTCCTGGCGGGTCCCGGTCCCCTCCCGGTGGCTCCCGGTGGGTCCCGATTCAGCTCCCGGTGGGTCTCTGGGGATCCCGGTCCCGCTCCCCGCAGGTCCCGGTCCCGGTTGCGGTGTATCCCGATGTACCCCGATGTACCCCGGTGTATCCCGGTGTATCCCGGTGGATCGCGGTGTGTCCCGCTGTATCCCGGTGTATCCCGCCGGTTCCTCCTGCTCCTTTCCCGGCAGCCGCCGCCGTTTCCCGGAAAGCCGAAGGCTCCGCCCCGGGAATCCCCGGGAATCCCAGGCTGGCCCCACCCACAGCCCAGCACTGCGGCGCTGATCGGTCAATGGTTCACTGACGTCACCGGTTACCGGGCAGAGGGAGCCGGAGCAGGTTGTGAAATTGAGGGGGCGGGGCCAAAACGGGGGCGGGGTCTGGGCGGGGCCGGGGCGGAACGGGGCGGGAGTGGGCGTGGCCTGAGGAGAACGGAGCGTTCTGAGAGCCTGAACTGGGAGCGCTGGTGTGGACTGGGGAGCTGGCACAGCTGTACTGGGAGAACTGGTGTGGACAGGGAAGCACCCCAGTCTGTACTGGGAGCACTGGTGTGGACTGGGGAGGGGAGGAGACTGAACTGGGAGCACTGGGAGCCGTACTGGGAGCTGTACTGGAAGCCGTACTGGGAGCCATAATACCAGGACTCATACTGGGAGCACTGGTCCTCGCCAGTCCCCTCATGGCACTGCCTCCCTCCCTGCTGCTCCCAGGGGCTCTGCTGGTGGCCGACGCCCTGTCCCTGTCCCTGTCCTTACTGGGCCCGCTGGTGCTGGCGCTGGTGCGGCTGGGCCTGGCGGGCACGTGTCTCGAGGCTGCCCTGCGCCTGCCCCTCCTGGCTGCAGCCTCCCGGCTCCTGTCCCCTCTCTATCCCCCCGGGGCCACCACCACGGCTGCCATGGCCACCATCGCCGTCACCCCCGTGGCCTTCATGGCCCTGCGGAACCTCCTGGGCCTGCCCGGCCCTGGGCCCGGCCTCTTGGCGGCTGCAGCACCCGCCTGGCTCGAGGTCACCCACGCGGCTGCCACGCTGACCCTGCTGGCCTGGGACGACCCCCGCACCCTGGGTGGTGTCCCCAAAGCTCCCGGGGGTGTCCCCGAGGTCCCCGGAGGTGTCTGGAGGGTCCTGGTGCTGGCCTGCTCCAAGTGGAAAGTCTTGGGAGCCGCCTTCCTGTGCCTTGTGGTGGCAGCCGCCAGTGGGTGATGGCGTGGGGAGGGCGATGGACCCCCCGTTAACTGAGTCTTGCAACCCCAGAGTGGGTGCAGAGCCCCTAAATTTGACATTGAACCCCCCCAGGTTTGCGGCTGATCCCCCCCTGGAATTGGGGTGGTGAGTGGCCCAAAATTTTGGGAGCTACTTCCCCCCGCCCCCGAAAAAAAATTGGACCCCCAAACTCCAGACTTGGGGGTTGATTGCCCCTAAACTGGGTACTGAGTCCTAAAATTGGGTGCTGACCATCTCAAAATTGGCTGCTGAGCCCCCCTTACATTGGGAACTCATCACCCGAAAATTGGATGGTGACCCCCCCGCCCCATCCCCCCGTAACTTGGTGCCGACACTACCCAAAAATTGTGTCCTGACCCATCGAACTCGGGTTTAACCCCCCCAAAAAAATGGGGGGTCTGATGCCCAAAAATGGGCATTGACTCCCAAGAAATTGGGTCCTGACCCCCCATATTTGGGTCCCAACTCCCCATATTTGGATCCTGACTCCCCATATTTTGATCCTGACTCCCCATATTCGGGTTCTGACCCCTAAAATTTGAGTGCTGACCCCCCCATATTTGGGTCCTGTTCCCCCATATTTGGGACCTGATTCCCCATATTTGGCTCCTGACTCCTCATATTTGCATCCTGACTCCACATATTCGGGTCCTGACCTCCCATATTTGGGTCCCTACCCCCCCATATTTGGGTCCTGACCCCTAAAATTTGAGTGCTGAACCCCCAAAATTGGGTGCTGAGCCCCCATATTTGGGTCCTGACCCCCAAATTTGGGTGCTGAACTCCCTGAATTTGGTCTCAAACTCCTGCCATCGGGTCCCCCCGTGGTGACGCGGTGCTGGTGTCGCCCAGGGGAGACTGTGGGGCCCTGCATCACCGGGAAGGTTCTGGACGCCATCCAGAGAGGCCATGGACTCACCACTGGAGCCGTGGGGATGGTGGTGGCCGCCAAAGCAGCCAGGTGGGTCGCAGCATTCTCGGTGTCCCCATGTCCCCAGTGTCCCCAATGTCCCTGATGTCCCCATGTCCCCACAGTGTCCTGTTCCCCGGGGGCCGCGGGTGGCTCTTCCTGCTGGCGGCGGCGCGTCTGCGGCAGAGCCTGCACCTCTGGCTCTTCTCCTACCTGCTGCACCAGGACCTGGATTTCTTCCAGGGAATGCCAGCAGGTAATGGGGCATGGCCCAGGCCAGTGCCATCCCGCCATCCCATCTTGTCACTCCAGTTCCCATCCCACTGTTCCATGCTTTCCCTGTCATCCTGTTACCCGAGTCTCCATCCATCCTAACTCACCCATCCATCCTTCCCATCCCATTATTCCAGTCCCCATCCCACCATTCCATCCTTTCCCCATCATCCTGTTATCCGAGTCCCCATCCCATCCCACTATCCCATCCCGTCGCTCCAGTCCCCATCCCGCCATTCCATCCTTTCCTCGTCATCCTGTTACCCTAATCCCCATCCCATTCTACCCCAACCCTCCATTATCCCATCCCACCATCCCATCTCCATCATTCCCATCCCAGTATCCCACCCCTTTCCATCCTATCCCATTTCCCCAGTCCTGTTCTACCATCCCATTCCGATCCCACTATCCCATCCCACTGTCCCATCCCTGTCAATCCATTCCAACCACTCCCATTCCCACCATCCCCTTTCCCATCCTGTCCCACCTGTCATCCCATCCTGCCATCCCATTCCATCTCCTGACCTTTGTCCTATCCCCCCATTCCCACCATCCCAATCCCACCTATCCCATCTTTCCCCACCATTCCCATCCCCATGTCCATGATCCCAACCTCCCTTCCCGCCCTGCAGCCGAGCTGTCGGCGCAGTTCTCCGCGGAGGTGCCGCTGGTGTCCATGGCGGTGCCGAGGGGGACCAACCTGCTGCTCCGGAGCATGGGAATGGTGCTGGTGGTGGGTGCGGCCATGGTCCAGCTGGTGCCGGGGCTGGCGCTGCTGGAGCTGCCCCTCGGGATCACCGCCCAGCGCATCCACAGTGCCCGGAGACGGGTCTGGAACTTGGGACAGGGTGGGCGGGAAGGGGGTAACGGGGTGGGAATGGCAGGGTGGGGTGGAAAGCAGAGAATGGGATGGGATGAGATGGGAACGGGATGGTGGGGATGGGAATGGTGGAATGGGGTGAGATGGGATGGGATGGGATGGGATGGGATGGGATGGGATGGGATGGGATGGGATGGGATGGGATGGGATGGGATGG